AGAGAGAGACAGAGAGACAGAGACAGAGAGAGAGAGAGGTGTTGGGGGGGGGAGGAGTAATTTTCTTACTAAGAAAGCAAATATAAGAAGATAATCAACAGATGAAGTGCCCACTTGCTATTCAGGAGCCATGGGACCTCGGGTAGGTCATTCCATCTCTTTGGATCTCAGTGTCTCGTACTCTGTATGATGCATATCAGGCGAGTAAGAAAGGCTGTTAGTGGCATAGTCATTAGTAAGAGCAAGAGGAGAGGCTTGTCACAGAAGGGCAAGGGCTGGGACTTGGAAGGTGATTTCCATGGGTTTGTTGATGGATTGAAACAAATTCTATCCGCATGGTCCTCACCTTCAGGGAATTGAGCTGACAAGATAATTAATGGAAATTAATTGAAATAAACCCCTCAACCTTTAAACTGTATCTGTTCACCACAAAGATTCCCTGAGGTCCACTAGCTCTTCCTAGGGAGAAGTTTAGACCCTCAGGAGGGAGGGGATCCCCTCTGTGAAGTGGGCCTCCTACAGACTCCTGGAGGCCCCCCCAAATTAGGGGGAGGTGTCTTTTCCTCTCCAGCGTGGAATTCCATCAGCTCTAATCATTAGGATGTAACCAAGACCTCCATGGTCCAGCCTGGTGCCTTTTGGACACTTTTATACTACTATACTTCTTTTCTTTCCTTTTCTCTTTTAGCTACTTTATTGAAATGTAATTCATATAGCATAAAATTCACCCTTTTAAAGTGTATAATGCAATGGTTTTAGTATATTCATAAAGTTGTGCAACCGCCACCACAATCTAATTTTAGATAATTTTTGTAACCCCAAAAAGCCACACCCATTAGGAGCCACTGGGCCATCACCCCAACCTGGCAGCTACTAACCTACTTTCTGCCTATCTGGACATTTCATAGAAATAGAATTGTACGTATTATATGTGGTACCTTTTTCTAAATTGAAGAAGGGAGATGTGACGACACTGATACACTAATACTAAAGCCCCCCCTTCTCTTCTCATCATTTCAGCAAACGCCTTCCTGCACCTGCCTGCTGATGTGTACAATCCCCTTAAACGCCTCTGTGAATGTGGAGGTGGCAGTGATGTGCCAGAGGTAGGCCCAAGGCTTTCCACTGACGAGGCAACCAGATTGAAATGCAAGTCCGCCTGGGACAGGGGTGTATACTCACTTGTATACTCACTGAGGTGTAGGGGGGCACTGTTTGGGGGAGGCGGCTCCCCAGCAGCCCCTGTCGAATGACCAGGTCACCCCTGGCCACAGGGCCTAACACCCCGTTTCTAGAGGACCACAGGATGCCAGAGCTGACAGTACCTTTCAGCAGCCTGGCTGGCCCAAGGCGCACAGACCACACAAGACCTCTCTGGGAAGAGACCGCTGCTGGTTGAAGAGCATCACCCCCTGGCCCCTCCCGCAGCGGCAGGGGGCAAGACCTTCCAAAGTGGCTTCTGGGCAGCTACACACCCCCTGCCGCGGACCCAAAGGAGAAAGAGCAGATCTAGGGCCCACTAGAGGCTGGAGGATGCGCCAGCAGGTGGGGCCCAAATCCAGGGCTCCACACGGGGTGGTAAAGGCAGCCCCACACTTTGGCTTCTCCTCACCCTAAAAGGTGGTGGAGTTTGAAAAGGGCCAAGTGTCATTTCCCTAGCTCCCAGGTAAAGGGGGCCAAAGAGTAGGGAGGAAAGGTGACCCGGAGCGAGTGAGGATCCCGGGTCAGAGGCACCAAGTACTCACAGTCGGGTGAGGCCGGCCCGCGGGCCGGGGCAGCGCAGCGCGCCATCGGGAGGGCAGTTGCAGGGCTCGGGGCACTGCACCCCGGGCAGCGCCCGTGGCAGTATCGGCGGCAGCAGCAGCAACAGCCCCAGCAGAGGCCTCAGCGCCGGGGACCGCAGCCCCATGTCCAGAGAGCCTGAGTGCTGGGCGGGTGCCTTGGACAGCGCCGGAGTGTGGCCCGCGCCCCTCTCCCCGCCCCCTTGTCTGTTCTCCCACCCCCTCCGGCGCCGCCTGCCCCTGCCCTCCCCGCTACCGGGCTGAAACTGCTCTGCCTCGACGTGGGACAGTGCTCAGTGAACCCCATCACTTCCCCTCTGCTGCTTTCCCCGGACTGCCCTGTCCACTCCATCTGCAAATAGCCCTAGTTCTAGGAGGTAGAGTGTGGTGATGGTGCATGCTTTGGGAAAAGGGTGGGGAGTTCTAACGTGCCCCGGCTCTGCTGTTACTATGAGAGTGAAGTTGAGTGAGTTGTGTCACTTAACTGAACCTCTCTTGTTACATCTGTGGAAAGAGCGGACGGATGCTTGTCACACCCAATCAGAAGGGATGAAAGCGCCCAGCTCAGAGGCTTCTCCTTGCCTTCATTCTCAGCCCTACATCCTTTCTTTCTCCCCCCACCGTCTCCCTCCACACCACAAGTCATCTCTGTTCTCCCGACTTCCCCAGTAATTTCTCTGTATTCTCTTGGTAGTAACTGCCTTCCTCCTTATAACGATTGGAGTCTGTTCTATGAGATTATGTAGATCGCCAGGTCCTAGAGAACAAAACTCAGTTCAGATTTATTTTTGTATTCCTTCTGGCTTCTACGTGGCAAGTCCTCAGTAAAGATTTGTGGAATGAATGGAGCTTCTATAATGTACAGCAGTTACCCCAATGGGAGGCCCATTATAGGCTGGATCTGTGTGATAGGTGCTCTCCCTCACATCATGTCTAAGCTTTACAACAGGTGTGACAACCAGAAAAATGGTGCCTGGGGAGGTTACATGACTTCCCCCAAGTCACACAGCTTCTATATAGCAGAAGCTTGTTTGAACTCATATCTGTCACCCACTGTCTCTCACTAATGTAAAAAATTACTAAATGATCTGCATACAAGGACTTGGAAAGAGACAAAATTTTATGATTAGCCTGGGGGTGCATAATTTCCCCTGTTTAATTTAATCTTTAAATCACTTCCGTTCCTCCTTCCAAGGACTTTATTTGGACTCTGGAAATCCTAGAAGTCTTTCTGGAAGAGGTGGACTTTGAGAGCTGCGAAGGTGCCTAGGACTTGACAAACAGGAAATAAAAACAGATTTCTTTTTCTTTTTTCTGATTTGAAGCCAACTCTCAAGGACAGACTGGCTTAGTCACCAGCCTCTCGTCTCGTGAAGTCTGTTGCCCAAGGAAGGTAGATTTTCTTTTTTTAGTTATTAAAAAAAATCATCTGGCTTTGCTAAATGACAGCATTGTGCTAGATGGCATGAAAAACAAAGCTTATGTCCATTTGATTGTTTTTCTTCTCTGGATCCCTGTCTCCAACTGCTTACCCGACTGCTTTTTACCCTCGCATTCTCTGCCTTTTCTGTTCCTCTTATCTGGAATGATTTCTTCTTCCTTTGCCATATTCCATGAGGCAAATCCCATGTTGTGCTTCAAGGCTCAGCCCAATGTCATTTCCACTATAACGCCTTCTCTGACTTGACCTCGCTGAGTAGTTGTGGCCATAACACCTGATTCTATAGCCAGTAATAGAACACACTGTAATTATGGCTTTAATTTTGCTTCCTCCTGTCCGTTCACTGTAGTATTGTTGGGGCATGTCATAGTTTCTAGCTCCTAGTTGGTGCTCAGTATATATCCTTGAATAACAGAATGAATAAATGAAACCCACATGGAGACCTATAGCAGTAAATCATCTGAGAAGAGCTTAACAACATTGTTTGATTTATTGTCAGCCACACTGGATAGGTATCGAGTAATTACCCCTGCCTACTTTGGGGTCACATTTTCTCTCCTGTTTTAACTTTGTCAGATTTTGGTAGGGAAGTTGGGGTAGCACTAGGCTTTTCAAAAGTTTCCACCATGTAGCCTGAATTGTAGGAGAGAAGGCATGAATAGCTCAAGGTGGCTGAGTGGCATTTATTTCAAGTCTTATGTTTCATGAGACCTTTTCTTTTTCCACCATTGCCTATTTGTTATATAAAAAGAGTGGCTGCCCCCGCCCAGCCCTGAAGAAACATTTGGTTCTGTGCTTGGGTATCCTTGGGGACTACTTAACCTCCCATGGGAGAAGGACTGGGCAGTCAGGACACCTAGATTGTCCTTCCTGTTCTGTCGTCAACCGTGTGGCTTGGTCTTTGATTTCCTCTTTTGTGGGAGGAGGGGTTGGAGTTCACAATCCCTACAGCTCTTCTAGCTCTAAAACATGAGGCCTTGGTGGGCAGCTCCTGTTATATTGCTGCTGGAAGGAATTGGATTGTGTACATTGATTTCTTATTGCTTGTATTAGATTGGAAATAAAGTCCTATTTACGAATAGGTGAAGTTATTCATTTGAGAGAAAACTCATAACTATAATGAGTTTTCATTAAATTTTTCTATCTCTGATTAATTTCAGTTGGATCTTAATTATCATGTTGGTTCTTGAAACATATAACAAAATCACATTGAATTGTTTGTTATTATCACAATGGAATTTACTTATCCTACTCATTAATATGTGACCGGTTTAGAGTGAATATTTTTAAATCTGAAGAATTTCTGTGTCATATAACTATACTTATACTTACTTTTGTCACAGAACTTCAAAAGAGCATGACCCACAAGGGTTGCTAATTATATTTTACTGACAAACTAAAGTTCATGGAATTCACAAGAAGTTTATCCTACCTTAGAGATTTAAAAATATCTGACACTACAACTCAGAAATCCTAATAAAACTCTCCAAAAGTCTAGAACAGGGCTTCTCATATTTTAAGGAACAGAAGTATCATTTGAGAAGCTTAAAAACAAAGATTCCTGGACACTCTCCCCGAAGAGATTCTGATTTAGTTGATATGGAGTGGGGTCTAGGAGTCTACATTTTAACAAGCCGTCCATGCAATTTCGATACATGGGGTTCCCAGAGCACAATTTGTGAAACACTAAAATGAAAATTCTAGAATTAAATTTGCCTAAAGGAAGACAAAGCTCAAGAATCCTTACTAAGGACTTACGAATGAAGCCTGAGACTTTTGATCCATTGTTAAAGAAATCTGGTGTGTGTAAGCACACGCTTACAGATAATACTGTGTATATGTGTGTAAAATTGCTTAATGGGTTGTAATGCTGAAGTTTTTTTCCTTTTAAGTAGAAATCAGTTTACTTATTTTAATTTTTTGGATGGGGGAGAATGAGCAATTTCATAAGATCCTATTTTTTTTATGCCTCACCAGATCAAAACACAATAGCACTTGCTATCACACTAAGACATTGGAGTTGCAGAAAGTGAGCAAAGTCATGAAGAAACCTCAAGTAGAACAGGTAAGATTTTCTGATTCTTGAACACATACCCTGTTGGTACCATAACTGATTATTTCTTCCTTCATAAAAGCAGCGGTTTTACCTTTCCCTCAGAAGAAAAGGTGAACGTAGGGCAGAGGAAGAAAAAAATGTGTAAGAAAAGAAACACACAGTTATACATGTGAGCTGTCCACCTTGCCACCTGGAACAGAAAAAAAACCAAACCAAAACAAAACAGCAAAGCAAAGAAAAAAAAGATGTCCTCTGAAAGTTACACTCTGAAATTTCATGCAGCCTCTTTGTTGCTTGCTTGGAAATTTTATCTTCCATTTCACTGTAGACATGGTATGAAATCAGAGATGTGATCAGCGGTGCCACCTCCAATGCTGCCCTGGGGTTCCTGGGGCCTTGGGAGGAACTAACTCAAAGCTGCAGGCTGATGGGCACCTGGACCCCAGCCCTAGGAATGGGTCTGGGAATGGAGGATTAAGGCTGGTCTGGGGTGTGAAAGTCTTTCTCCAAGACTGTGGGAGAGAGAGCCCGAGAAAGGACTTGCCTTTTTGGTCATGTTCCTGGAAGGATGTGAGTGAATTGGGGGCTGCTATCCTCCTTGTCTCATGGAAAAAGCCTGCTTGTTCTGGCAGTGACTAAACCTACAGAGAGAAAAACAGTAGAGAGACAGGGGGGCGCAAACAGAACTGGATGCCCGCACCTCCCTTGGACCTCCCAAGTAACGATCCAATACATCCCCTCTTTTCCTTAAGCTAATTGGAGTTGAGTCTCTCTCACTTGCTACTAAAATTCTTAATCTCTACTGTCAGCCTTGCTGTGAACTGTGTTTGACCTGCCTATTCCCTCTTCCCTTCTCAGTTAGGAAAGAAATAGGGCTTTTCTATTCTTATCACTGTCATAGGATTCATCACAAACACAGTGAATTTCCACCCTTTGATTGGCAGCATTTATCACTGGTCGAGTGAGTGGATGAACAAAGGAATGAATGATGAACAGTGGACAAAGAGATAGTGTGATTCTCCACATTATTCTTCTTTTTAGAGAAGGTTGCATTTTGCTAAATAATTCACCAAGCATTCTTTCCACTTTAGGGAAGGGCTCCTTGGTTTAGAAGTCAAATTTCAAGCTAAAATATTAGGTAGAAGCAAACAAGGAAAGAGAGAAAACTTTCTGAAATGATGAAATAAATAAAAAGGGAAACAGGATTTGATTTTTAAAAACCTGATGTAGAAATAATCAAAATGTGTACCACAGGATCCTGGATGCCTGCCATGCTAATTGGCAGTATTTAGAAAAAAGGTGTCAAAGCTCAAGAAATTTGGGGAAGATTGGGTTAAAGTTAAACAAAGTTCTTTACTAGACAGTTTCTCAAAACTTTTACCATGGATTGTGACTCTCCAAGAGGGCCATAGTATGTGCAAGGAACTGGTGTTTCTTTGGGACACGCTTTGAGAATGCTGATTTGGAAATACAGGTTGAGAACGCTGACTTTGATGGCTAAGAACCCCTTCATTGAACTGAAAGCCAGAGCTGACCTTGGCATGGATATAGCCTACTGATGCGCGGACTTGGTGTAATGGAAAGATAGCCCGGATCACTCTTTTTCTCCTTCCACCCCTTGATGTGGATACTTGGGGTCTAGAAATCCCAACGTTATCAGTATATCCTTTCAGGTTAAATATTGCACCCC